ACATAAGCTTCAACTAAAAGCTAAGACGCTCACATTGCTTTACGTCATATATATTCCATATTTGTTGTAATGAAATATTTTTGGCTATCAAGTTATCAAGTCAGCTATCATGACTTTGGTAAACAAATGGGAAATTGTTAAGCTTTTCATAATTACATCAAACTTGCTTTTCAGTCAAAGGCAATTTATTTGTGACAAGAAGATCGAGAAAAGTCGTCCAACATCGCCTGTCCTCAACTGTGGATATCTATGTATTTTCTGCTATCACATATATGTTGTTTCTAGTATATTTAGACTCGGAGAATTTACTTTGTGGCATGCACAGATAAGTATTCATGTTCTGTATTCAGAAAATCTACAATTGGATTTCTAACTGACAGGTTTATCAGTAAGAACTCAGATAGTATGTGCAAAAAAATGTTAATATTGCATGTTTATTTACTTCTTTATTTAGAGTTGTTTAAAATATATATCAAATGAATCCTTCCATTTTTGTAAAGTCTGAAACGATTTCCCGGGGACAATGTCTGTTAACTTTTCTAATATTTCTTTTATTTCTTTTCTAAATTTTGGTTTAAAAAATTCATCTCGTTAGATTTTAAACGAGAAATAAATACATTAGAGTATTATAAAAGTTTTAATAATTTCAAATATATTTGCTTGCATTAATCTTTATATTTGCTATACACTATTTGGTTAGACATACATAATTTATATATATTTGGTTCGACATACGTTAGACATAGAATATAACAACATAATTTATCTGTTAAATCCAGTTTTCTGATCAGTTTATATATTTTATAGACAGGAAATATTTTATAGACAGGAAAAATTTTTTAAAACGGTCATTATACTCGCTTCGAGATAAATGTCCTATATGTTTGTTGGCGATTACACACAAATTATTAGTGAACAAAGAACAAAAGCCCAATTTTGAATACAAAACTTTTAAAAAATTACAACCGAAAGACAGCTTAACAGGGACAGTTTTTCATATTTCCTTTCTTCCCAACACTCAATCTGTAAGTAAATTCTTCGTTGCGTAGCAAAGAATGCGACCAAATCAAGAGACACCTCTTCAAAAAGAACGGACCCCAAATAGTAGATATCGACGTCAATAACCTGTTAAGAGAAAGCTGTAGCAGATACTATGTAGGTCAATAATAAAAGGTCATCATTTCTGTGTTAGCTGTTACTTGGTAAACGACTCGTATCATTTGCCTGCATAGATCTGCGTTTTTAAATAGACATATAGGCGGCACGTGATACTAAACAAAAAAAAATAAATTCCTCGTCTCTTATGGACAGAGACAGGAATCTATATGTTTACCCTTTTTTGAATGCATTTGTCAATTATATGCTAACCAACTCATCCAGGTAATAGCAGGGACATCAATCACTGTCAAGAAAAATTACTGCACGCATCACCCGAGTCCAAGAAGAAATGAACTTCCCAGACCTCTTTGACTATTACATGATGCTAGGTAATCACAAGACCAATCTACCAGAAACCGAAGCAAAGACCCCATATCTTGACCACAAATAGGGGGATGCAGTAAATATTGAGGGCAGGGGAAAATGAATATAACAATTTTGTAATTCTGGGCGGAGTACAAGCATATGTAATGTAGGTTCGGATTTTCTTGAATTGTAGTCATTCATTCATAAAATAAATCTGGTAATAAGTAAAAAAATATATTTTCTTCATAAAATCCAGAGACGGATATGCAATATGGTTGGCCCTGATTTAGCATCTCGGTATTTATCGACCCACCCACGAGGATTGAATATGGCACAAGGCCGGTTTAATGTGGGTATCTCCGAGCCCGTAGGCTCGGCCAAAAATATACCCTTTGAACCCGCCTAGACGGGTTCAGGCCCTGTCTACCTCCCCGGACGAAACCTTGCCCTTCGCAAAGCTTTGTCCGGGTTCCTCTCTGCTAATGCAGAGAGTTCGACAGGCGTCGCTTACAGTCAAATACTGTATCACGACTCAGCTAGACTCCTCGGTCTTGCTCTCAATTTCGATTTGGCATCTCGGTTACAGTCGCTCTCTCACAGACGTGCTGTCGATTCCCTCTGTCTTATCTACAAATACTTTCACATTAACTGCTCCGACGAGCTATATTCGCTAGTTCCCGAACTGCATGAATGTAAGCGTAGAATCTCAGTACCACCCTTTCACTGCCGAAACGGCTAAATTTTGCCGTCTCTTCTACACCAATAGCTTCATGTCTCGCATATCCTGTCTGCGGAATTCCCTTCCACTTAATTGCTTCCCTGATAGCTATAATTTCCAACAATATAAATGCAATGTCAATTGATATCTCCAGATGCCTTGATCTATTCCCCGTCATTCTCTCCACCTTTGCCGCAATTACGGCACTTTACTCTTGCTCCCACTCTCTGTAAACCCTTGCGTTCTAATGGCACTCCCGCCTTGGTTGGGGTAAAAAGTTAAAAAAATATCCTGGCGAGCCTTAGCATTTAATCTGTCTGTTTTGAAGTGAAAATCAGTAGAAAACATATGTCCAACCACAATACTTGTATAAACATTCCTGAAAGAATAAAGATATTTTATGTATGAATAAAAATGAATAAAAATGATTTCATTGAAAACAATTGCACATTCACAGTATAAATGTCGGTAGTTTTAATTTAGAAAGGCGAGATAAAATGTAAATGATTCTGTTTGTCAATGCTATGTCATTAAGAAATGTGTTACTGAAATAATGAGGATATTCTATTTTTCTCAAAGTGTTGTTTTAATGTAATTATCTGTTTTGTACAACAGTCACTTTTTAATATGGTGTCGTACAGATTGGTTCAATATAAGTAACACAAATTTCTTAAATGACGTCATCGGAAATTAATTAATATATATATATATATATATATATATATATATATATATATATATATATATATATATATACTTATTTTCGTAAAATATCATAGCCAGCTCCGACACAACACAGATTTATTTTTTTCAAAGATCTTCGTAGATAGCCAATGGCTCAGTCTTTTTGTTTTTGTAATTCTGCGGTTGATCCAATCGGGCATTTTGGTTTCGGTCAGTGCGTGCTTAATCAGTATTATATCTTAGCACCCTGCGGGAGGTCCAGAGGACATAAACTTTCGCGACCCAATTAATTTGTATCTCTTTAGAATTCTGTCTCGCAGGCCGCTCGGCCGAGCTGAAATTTTCACCATTCGGTGCGCCGTCATAAATCAAATCAAATCTGGTATCTTACTTTCTCGACAGTGAAAATAAAATTTTACCACTTTTCTTTGTTGGAAAAATAAAATCGCTTAGTATCCTTTTTGTGATGGCTTCTTATCACCTAAATTTAATTCTCGCCTTTCCTTTTCCTTCTTTCTTTCTAGCGACCTAAATAGTGTCACACGCGTATATTTTCTCATTCCGAATTCCATTGGCTTTAAGATCTTTTTCTTACACAATTTATTTTACTTCAATTAGTTCGCGTACTCCGTTCATTATTTGGAGGAAATTATTTCTGATGAAATTAACAGGTTTTCTTTTTATAAACGATCAAGATCTCATTCTAGTTACTCAAGAAATATAAATGAAATGTCTTTATAAATGACTTCAGAAATCGTTCAAAAGAGTAGGATGTAATATTCAAAGTATTCTACAATTACTAAACTAGTCGAAACCTGTGCTAAAATGATACTCGAATATATTTTCACTTCATGCGGTTCAATGTTTGTATCGCGAAGTTAATCGTAAGAATGCCTGTCCTTTTTAAAATCTACTCTGAATTGAAATTAAAGCACGCGGAAGATCATGGAATATTTCTTTCTCAGGTAATGCTAGGAGAACCGACATATTCGGATAAACATTTACCAAATTTAGATAGGAAACTGAAATCAGGTTTTCCGGATATAGCAGAAAAATGTATTGTCTTTTTGAAAATGGAATTCCTCATTGCAATGAAAGGTGAAGTTTGAAACGCACACTGATATCTACAAAAGTAATTATCTTCAAATTCATACACAATCAAAAAGAATATATATATATATATATATATATATATATATATATATATATATGGATTATGATCTTTTCCTGTTGTGTATATATATATATATATATATATATATATATATATGTATATATATATATATATATATATATATAGGGATGTAAAATTGATATGTAATTATTTCGTACCATATGTAATCGAATGAAAATAAGAAAATTGAAATGCTATTTATTGGGAAATAAGGCCTGACGGAGCACAAACATCTCCAGGCCAGTTACGTTCTTGTGTTTTTTTTGCCAATCGCTTATAGAACACAGCCTGTCCTGCTATTTACTCATAGCTACCGTAACGGGGAGGGGAACGAAGAGGATGCAAGCGTTTCCCAAGGTGAGTGTAATAGATCCGAACTATTTCGTCTCTCCGATTCCTCAATCCGAACAACTATCCATTGCTCCACCACGCTTCATACAACACCACCGTGTGAGTACGCACACACACACATACACACACACGTATATATATATATATATATATATACACTACTGGCTAAAATCTTAAAGAAAATAAAGACAATATACTTTTTGCGTTATTAGATTCAACCACTTATTGAGTATAGCTTCAAAGAATGAAAATAAGAAAAGTAAAATTAAACATTACAAAAGTATTTTTAGCATTTAATAGGGAAAATTTGAATACGTGTAACCTAGTAACGCTTAAGAAATTCTCTGTCGGTTAATATTTCATGCTTTATTCAAAGAATATCCTATTTTGTTTTCTATCGTACATGAAAAAATAAAATCTAAAAAGTTATTTTTGTTTTTTGTAAATTAGAAAAAAAAATCTTTGTGGTTATCGGAATATTATAGAAAGATTAGAATAAAGTGGGAGGGAACGACAACGGAAACGTTTTGATAGTAATAACAAAGATGAGGAAAATTGTCCGAATTTAAAAAGTGTAAACAATGATAACTCGAAAAAATTCTCGAAATAATGATTTTATCACGAGAGGGCAACGAGAGTGTTCACATCGCTCTCTCTCTCTCTCTCTCACTCTCTCTCTCTCTTTCTCTGTCCTGCGTGCGCGCTCGCATGCACATACACACACAGGCACACACGCACGAGAGCGCCTACATACAACCACACAAACTCTTTCTTTTTCTGGCGCACGCACACACACACTCACGCACTCACAGACAAACGCATGCACACATAAGCACGCACGCACGCTCACACACACACACACGTACGTATTCATATATATATATATATGTAAATTTTATATATCAAGAACATTTTTGTAGAAATGATGTATGACAAAGTGGAAAAAGGATTATGTGTGACGGGTTCCGAATTTTTAGGACTTCATCGAATTAAGTTTATTCACGTTGAAGCGACTGCACATCCGCACGAATGGGAAACGTTGTTTGTTTTGGATATATAATGTAATCGATTCAATTTACATTCTTTTTCGTTTTGTTTTTGTTTCCGTTGTCATTGTTATTAAATATCTTACATTGCAATAACAGATGATCTGCAAAGAATAGTAAAATATTTTAATAACATGGATGCAAATTTACTGTGATTGAAATAGCGATTAAAAACATTCTAAACATTCGTTTTAGTTAATAGTTCTCTCCATTTCGCTTTTTTATGCCGAAAAGATGGTCAGTCTTGTGTGCAACTAATGAGATTCATGTGTGGTTTTGTAAAACATCCGTTTGTTTTTATATAATGTTTTATTCAAACCTGCCGAGGTTGCTCCACTATATTCTTTCTAGCAAACATTACGGGGGATAAAATAAATTCCTCCTTCATTTTTTAGCTTATTCTTTTGTTTTGTATTAAGTAAGTCTTTTATTGTTTTAGACGTACTTATGATACATTTTTTGATGGGCTTAGATGAATTATTTTCAATTATAGCTGTGATAGAGTTAGTTGGTAGAAAATATATTTCTTTTTGATTCGTTGGGTTTATCAGGAGGAGCCGGTTTTCTGTTTTGAAATATCTTATGCATTGAACAAGAAATATGGTACTGAAGGAGGCTTAAAGTCTTTTCATTATATTTCTCCTCTTCTTTATATTAAAGTCTGCAAATTCTGAGTGATCTGGAGTAGAATTCGATGATTATTCCAGTGTCTATTTTTGTTGTTATGATAGAAATAGAAATATATTAATTTATGTTTATTAATTGATTTGAGCTGCTGTTAACGCGATGTAGCATTCCTAATTAGGAAAGAAAAAATTAATATATATATATATATATATATATATATATATATATATATATATATATATATATATATATAAAAAAAAGAAAGAACAGTAAGATATAAATTTGGTGTTCTTTATAGATATTTTATTTTACAAAATAGTGCTCAATGTAAATTTACAGAGCATTAATATTATAAATTAATTGATTTAAAATATGGTTATTTTCGCACACAGTTCCAATTTTTTTTATGTTTCAAAAAATAGAAGCTAAAAACCCTAATTTTATTTTTTTGCAAATAAATTAAAAGCATTAGTTCCATTTCAAACATTTTCAAGCGAATTTTGAGTAACTTTTAAAATTTACCGGGTTTTAAATACACAGCTAAAAATCACGTTTCCATGGTTACAGAATATTCTACTCAAATTGAACACGGGGTGTCTAGATTTTCCTTATGACAGTATCATTGTATCAGTTATTAGCTACATTTTGGTAAGGTGAGGATGTATTTTACACTGAAACCTGACGTCGGTTGAATGGATGTCGTCTGAAAAAAAAAAAAAAAAAAAAATTGTTAACGGTAAAAATTTTCAACGTCATCTTTTAAAATTAAAGATTTTTTTACAATATTTTTTTATTTAACTACGATTTGAAAATATTTTTTTTTTTTAATTTTATTTTACTATATTCTTTTTAAGAACAGTTAAATGTATTAGAATCCATTATATTATGTAGGATTATTTTAACATTAAGTTTAAGTATGTATATGAGGTTACATTTTTTTTTTTTTTTTTTTATGACAGCAGAAATGGTTATTAATTTCACTGATTCAGTAAACTTTTCTTTTATAAATAAACCTATTATTATAATATTTACATGTAAGTACTGACATGGGTTATTCAAAAGCTTACATGATTTCATATTAATTTTATTTACTATAGGTGTTATTTTTTATTTTTAATTTATATTATTTAAAAGAAATTTAGGTTAGAATTATTCAATTTTACAATTTTAATTACAAATTCAAAATTACAACTTTAAAATTTTAAAATATTTTCATTGTTTAGTTTTAATAGACTATATTTTTTTATAACAGAAGAAAATTACTCATATTAAGTAAGATTATTTTTCTGTAATATGAGGACATGGGTCATTCAAAAGCTTACATGTTATGGTATTTCATATTAATTTTATTTTACTATAGGTGTTATTTTTGGATTCTATTTTTTTAATGCGTGTAGTATTATTTAAAAGAAATTTAGGTTAGAATTCATTCAATTTAACTACAATTTTAATTACAAATTCAAAATTACAACTTTAAAATTTTAAAATATTTTCATTGTTTAGTTTTAATAGACTATATTATTTTATAACAGAAGGAAAATTACTCATATTAAGTAAGATTATTTTTCCATATCAAAGTATATGTAAATTTTTTTTTTTTTTTTTTAAATTTAAATATTATTTAAGTAATATTAATGGCACTTACTTAAAAAACTAGCTAAGTCATTTTCAGATTTAGTAAACTTTATTTATTTATTAATTAATTAATTTATTTATTTCAGATATATGTAACCTAATTAATAAAGTTTCATATGTATGTATAAATAACATGTTAGAATTCATTTTATTTTACTACATTTTAATTTCAAATTTAAAATTATAACTTTAAAATTTTAAAATATTTTCATTGTTAGTTTTAATTTAGACTATATTCAAAAAGTATTTTATAACAGAAGGATAATTTTTTATAGTAAGTAAGTAAATTTTTTTCATATCAAAGTATATGTAAATTACAATTTTAAACTTTTAATTTAGATATTATTTAAGTAATATTAATGGCCCAGACTACAAAACTATCTAAGTCATTTTTCAGAATTAGTAAACTTTATGTATTAATTCAAGTTTAAGTATATATGAGGTTACATTTTTTTTTTTTTTTTTTTTTTTTTAGAATATATATATAAACCTAGTGATATAATGTTTCTCAATGTTTTTTACAAAGGACATGGGTCATTCAAAAGAATTTTACATCTTTATGGCATTTTATATTAATTTTATTTTTATTTTATTTGCTTTTTTTGGGATTTTTTTTAGTGTGTGTAGTATTTAAAAGAAATTTAGGTTAGAATTCATTCAATTTAACTTTAATTTAGTTTCAATTTAAAAATTACAAACTTAAACTTTTGAAATATTTTCATTGTTAGTTATATTAGACTATATTACTTTATAACAGAAGGAATATTACTCATAGTAAGTAAAATTATTTTCAATATCCAAGTATATGTAAATTACAATTTTAAAACCTTTTTATTTTAAAATATTATTTTAGTAATATTAATGGAACTTACTACAAAATTAGCCAAGTCATTTAAATTCGGATTTAGTAAACTTTATTTATTACTTAATTTATTTATTTATTTTAAATATATGTAACCTAAGTAGTAAAGTTTCATATGTATGTACCAAGAACAGGTTAGAATTCATTTTATTTAACTATAATTTTAATTACAATTTAAAATTACCACATTAAAATTTTAAAATATTTTCATTGTTAGTTTTAATTGACTATATTGTTTATAACAGAAGGATAATTACTCATAGTAAGTATAATTATTTTCCATAACAAAGTATATGTAAATTACAATTTTTAAACTATTATATTTAAATATTTAAGTAATATAAATGGCACAGACTACAAAAACTATCTAAGTCATTTCTCAGATTTAGTAAACTTTATGTATTAATTAATTAAATTATTTATTTTAAATATATGTAACCTGAGTAATAAAGTTTCATATGTATGTATTTAAAGAACAATGGGTCATACATTACCTTACATCATCTAGCTTTAGTTATAATTTCATTTTTCAGGAGGTGTTTTATCGGATTCATTCAAGTGTTTGTAGTACATTTATTATAGAGGTTTTTTGTTTAGGATACATTTTATTTAACTATTTGTGATTTTTTTTTTTAAACGGTGTTTATGTTTTAATACGTTTTAACCACAATTTTAAATTTTAAATAACAGTTTAAAACATTTTTCCCCATTCCATTCCAATAGTGATTTTTTTTTTTTTTTTTTTTTTTTTTTTATATATTATTTAAGGGAAAATTTTTGACAATGATATATATATATAATAGCTATTTCATTTCTCTGATTCAGTAAATTTTTATTTTTATAAACTTAGTAATATATAGTTTCTCTTGTATACATAGAGGACACGGGTCGTTTAATGATCTACAAATTCTAGCTCTTCTTATTAACTTCCATTTTACTGTAGGTGTTTTATTTGATTCTTTTTAGATGCCAGAAATATTTTGAGAGAGATGTTTGATTTTTTATATTTATTTATTCTAAATGAAGTTTGATGTTGGTTGAATCTTTTTTGAATTCATGGCTACTAGTGCAACCTATATATATTTTTTATGTTATCAGGATTTTCAATCGAAGAGATATTGCATTGGTATACTTTTAATGATTCAGTATGCAACATTTATTTTTTTGGGCAATTTTGAGGGTTTCGACAATTACATAGTTTTTTGTTTATTTACATCAGTTTTTATCATAATTTTCTATTGTCTAAATTTTTTGGTTTTGGTATAAGTGTTTATTTAAGATATTAGCATTTTGGTTCTTAATGATTTTTTCTAAGTTCTTTGTACAGCTATAACTTAATTTTAGTGTGTTTTATTGAAAATAGTACTTAGTTTATTTTCATAAGGGAAATGATTCATTATGAATATTAATGTGAGGAATTTATGTCAAAAATCTGTTCAATTTTTACCATTTGGTTATATGGGGAGTATACCAAATAATTTTTTTACATCTGTTTTTTCTATGTTTTCCATTTTTCATTTTTTATA